CATTTTTTGATGTGACAGAGTTGTAGTATTATAGATATTGTAACTTAAATGAGTAGTTTGTCATTGAAGTTTCAGGAGTTTGTCTCTTCCTAAGTTTAAATCTTTGGTCTTTGAAATTTAACTCCTTGTGGATTTTTTTCAACAAAGAGGAAAAGACAATGGCCTACTCATGGAGAGACTTGAATTCTTACTCCTAACTTGCCCATAGATTTATTTTTTAACCTTTAAAATGAAATGATCTGATTGTATTATTGTTATCTGTGTACACAATTCAGTTCCAACAGCTTATAAGCTGATTTAAGGAAAGGACCAAGTTGTACTGAGTTTTATCTTTATATTCCTGACAATGGATTAGTAAATGTTCAATGAATAAATAACTTCAGGTTTTTTCTGTCTGTGAAAATGAGAGGACTATCTCTCAAATTCCCTCTAGTTCTCAAATATTTTTAATATAAGGTTCAGTGAAAAATGAGCTCTAGCACTGGAGAAGAAATAAGGATGAGGACATACAAATATTTCACAACTGACAGAGCTCAAAGGCTTTCCCTAACTTCTTTAAAAGTTTTTTAAAATCTCTTTATCCCCAAGGTTACTACTTATCTAAGCAGTCCAAATACTTTAAAAACTGACCTTGAGTCATAGGAGGCAGAGTACCTTTGTGGTTTTACTCTGGCATTCATGACTACAGTGCTCACATAAAACAAAATGTCCCTCAGATTAAAATTTCTCATTACTTCCAAAATAGAAAATACATACTCAGTCTTACTCTTTTTAGCATTCATAGTTTAGCCTTGGAGGTTCTCTTTCTCAGACAGTCTGAGATCTATCCTTAAGCAGATAACTGGTTAAAATGTTTATGTTTGACAATAGGTTTAAATACAATTAATTTTTAGGTATATTTATTAGTAGTAATATCTATTTGTTGAATGTATATATTATTATATATTTCTTTCTGTTATTTGTCATAACAGGTTTTTCAAGCATGGTTCAGTAAATGACCTTTACTAAAAGAACCATAATTCATAATTCAAAGCCGATTGCTTCATGTTTTTTCCCTACTAAACTGAACTGAGTAATTTTTAACAATTTTTAAAATTATATATATTCATATTAAAGTGTTAATGTAGCTAAGGTGGGAAAAAACCAAAATACCAAATTAAACGCAGAATTACACAGTACAGAGGAGCAAGGATTAAAAAATTTACATATTTACCCCTCAGCTGCAATTAATAATTTGCTGTGCATATTTATAAAAATATTTAATGTTCTTATACATAGACTTGTATATCCAGATCCTTTAAAACAATTATACTTTTTTTCCTTCATGATGTCAAATAATTATACTTTGACACTCTACTGTACCTTCCTCTCAGGGACCTGGTACACAGTAGTTATTCAATAAAAGTTTAATTAAATTGACCAATACTCTGTTAGTTAGCAGCTAGTCAGTATTTCTGATGCATTTTGCTTTTAAAATGCTACATACTTTCCATAAGATACCTTTTCACGGATCTGAGACTAATTTTTTAAATTACACTGATGTTGCACTCTGCACTCAGTATTAAAATATTAAATGTAAGCGTAGCTAAAACGACATTTGTAGGGACCAGCAGATGGCATAGAGGTTACATTGCTGGACTCCCATGTAGCCAAAAATGTTTGAGGCCTGGACCCAGCGACTTGAAACTCATGCTGGGCATGTGTGTGTGTCTGCCCAAAATCACGAGAGGAAAATGGAAGAGAAAGGATTACATGGCCTTACCCCCAGGAGGTGATTTCTCTCATTCTATCTCTGTCTCTCCAGCAAGCACACTTGTTTTATAGCAAAAGTCTCTTAAAAAAAAAAAAAAAAAAAAAGCAGGGACCAGCAGTTAGCGTAATGGCTATGTCGCTGAACTCCCATGTAGCAGACCGTGGTTCGAGGCCTGGATCCGGTGGCTTAAACTCACACCAGGCACATGTGCGTGCTTGCCCAAGAGCCTGAGGGAGGAGAAGGGATTGTGGTGTGGCCTTCCCCCCTGGGATGTGATTTCTTGCTTTCTATCTCTCTGTCTCTGTCTTCCTGGTGAGTGCATGTGCCCTGTAGCAAAAATCTATAAAAAAAAAAAAAAAAGAGAGAGAGAGAAAAAAAAAGCAAAACTACTTTTGTATGTGATTTATAAAAATAATTCTGTATATCTTTATGAGCACACACTGTATAATGGGTTTAGTTCTCAGACCTGATAAAACTTACAAACAGGTTTTACCTGTTTTCCAACTATGATCAAAGTACCTGATAAAAATTTCTAAATTATAAAGTGAATCATTAAGAAGTTAAATAACAGGCACTCTAGAATTTGAAGAAATGCTTTGTGGTTAAAATACTCCATGTTAGAAAATATTCCATATTAAGATATGGTAGCTTTGTTCACAATAAAAGAGGTTTAATGTTTCCAAACTCTTCCTCTCTTATATTAGAAAACTTGAAATACAAATGGCATTTGCTTTTCCTGAAAAGAATTATGACTGAATCTAAAGAAGCATATTTATCTTGGAGCTATAATATATACTTTTATTAGTCTTAAATCCAAAACACATTTTACTTACAAAATCTAATATAGGTTGGTCTGTCAAAGTTAAAATTACTTTTTTCTATAAATACATTTTTTTCTGACAAGATGGAACAGATTTTAAGGAATTTGGAATTTTTCTATTTCTTTCATGACATCACATTACAGTATTTATTATTTAAAATGCTATCAGAGCTTTTCTCTTTCCTTGGAGAGTATAAAGTTGTTGGTTTGGAATTTGGAAAATATTTAATGCCAAGTTGAAAGTTAAACTGTGATTGCTTTCCACAATGACTCCCCCTGTTGTATAGCTGAGTTATTTAAAACTTTAGTAATAGAGTAGAAGGGACCAGCAGTGGGCGTAATGGCTATGTCGCTGGGTTCCCATGTAGTCAACCACGGTTCAAGTCCCAGACCCAGTAGCTTAAAACTCACACCGGGCACGTGTGCATGCATGCCCAAGTTCCCGAGAGGAGAATGGAGGAGAAGGGACTGTGGCGTGGCCATCCCCCCTGGGGGGTGATTTCTCACTTTCTGTCTCTCTGTCTCTGTCTGGCAAGCACATGTACCCTATAGCAAAAACCTCTCCCCCCAAAAAAACAAAAGAATAAGTGACCAAATTGTTTCTAATCGATCCATGTTTGTATGATTAAGAATATTAGAAGGAGGATGAGAAAGACTTAGTAAATTAACAATGATACTAGTTCTTAAGATCCTTTCCTTAAATAACCTTGATGGATACTTATAAAATAAAAAATTCATCTGAAATCAACAGCCAACATTTCTTTAAAGTCAAGAACAAAATAGTTAAGTCTGGTATCACAACAGCAGAATATTGGTTGATTGAAGTTCATTGTATCGTGTGTACATGTTTTCATACAGAGATACAGAGGTTGGAGATATCAGGATAGCTAATGAGATGACAGGTACTATGAGCAGAGAGTATGGTACTCAACTGGCTTTTTTCTTTTCTTTTCTTTTCTTTTCTTTTCTTTTTCTTTCTGAGAGAGTGGGATTTTAGGAGTAGAACACGGAAGCTCTCCAGAAAGACAGGAGAGAGTGGGATTTTAACTGTAGAACACGGAAGCTCTCCAGAAAGACAGAAAGCAAAAAATTACCCCCCAGGGGGATGGCCACACCACAGTCCCTTTTTCTCCATTCTCCTGGGATCTTGGGTATGCACACACACGTGCCTGGTATGAGTTTGAAGCCACCAGATCCAGGACTCTAATCTTAATGCCTTAATTCCAGTTCACATTTTTTTAGTGAGAAACCAGCAATTATTTAAATAATCGTTTTCCTATAAAGAGAATTATTTTTCTGTCTGCTTTTAATATTTTCTTATTTTTGGTTTTCAACAATTTAATTATAATGTGCTTAAGTTTCTGTTTTCTTTTTTTATCCTCCTTGTTGTCCTCTGACATTGAATCTCTATCTGACCTACTTCATGTCTTACTCTTGTTGATCCCAATTCTATGTATACTGGACCTTCATATTATTGTCCCACAGATCCCTTTATCTCTGTTGATTTTCCTTTCAATCTTTTTCTCTCTGTTCTTCAGATTGGATCATATCTATTAATCTGTCTTTAAGATGACTGACTCATCTCTGTCATCTACATTCTGTATTAGCTTCTACACTGAGATTTTAAATATTAATTTTTCAGTTCCAAAACTTCTACTGGCAGGCATTTTTTATATTTTAATATTTTCTGTTAAGATTTCCTCTCTTTGGGAACCAGCAGTTAGCGTAATGGCTATGTCGCTGGACTCCCACATAGTCGACCGCGGTTCGTGTCCCAGACCCGGTGGCTTAAAACTCACGCCGGGCGCGTGTGCGTACGTGCCCAAGATCCTGAGAGGAGAATGGAGGAGAAGGGATTGCGGCGTGACCATCCCCCCTGGGGGGTGATTTCTCGCTTTCTGTCTCTATGTCTCTCTGTCTGTCTGGCGAGCGCACGCGCCCTATAGCGAAAAAACCTCTCCAAAAAAAAAAAAAAAAAGATTTCCTCTCTTTCATTATATATATATACATAGCTTTACTTGGTCATGGTTATAATAGATATTTTAAAATTTTTACTCAATAAAGAACTTATCTTGTTCAGATTCAGTCTGTAAATTATCCCTTGAATGGCAGTTCAAATTATCCATTTTAGCTTTTTTTTGGGGGGGTTGTTTTGTTTTGTTGTTTTTTTGTCTGTAGCTACACTACTTGTAGATCCTACTTGTGCATCGTTCAAGGGTAGGCCAGAAATTGTACAGGAAACCTTCGTTATTTTAAAGTGGTTTAATTGCTGTATTTTTACCTTTTTGTTATTATAATAGAATTCCTAAATATTAGAATCAGAGTTTTGTTAACTGAAAATAATTATGGATATTTGAATTTCAGTTTCTTATTTTGACAACTACATAAAAATCTGTTTAATTCTTTTATTTTTTTCCTTTGTTTTAGATCGAGCTGGGAGCATCAGTACCCTCGATTCTTTAGACTTTGCAAGATACTCAGATGATGGTAACAGGGAAACAGATGAGAGAGTGGCAGGTGAGTAGGATCATAAAGATAAATTTGGATTTTTTGGTACTTCAGAAATGATAAAATGACTTGAGAGATTCTCTTCCTTTTACAATTTCATATATGAATATAATGTATAAGGTTATTGCAAAAAGTTATGTTACTAATTTATTGTTACCAGTTATTAATTTTTTGTAATTTGGGGGATAATCCAACTTCCTCCTTCAGTGGTACTGTTTCTGGTTATGTACGTCTATAATTTGCTGAGTTCTGATTGTAGCCATTCATTTGCATCCTGTAAAACCAATATAAGTTAGCCAGAGTATAGGAAGTTAGTTGTGCCTTAGCCTTGCTCCTTTGATCTCCAAACCACAGCTTATATTCAGGTACCAGTTTGGGCCTATAGATTGTTAAAAATTGGTGGAAATATTCTGTGCTGCTTAGTAAATAAAATTTTGCCTTTTGTTTCTTAGGTAGTTATCACAACATGTCTCTATGAATTTCTGACTTTCCTATGACTCAGAAAATAAAGGATTTAATGCTTGGTACAGGAGGGGCCAGAACCTTGCCCGTTTTGGTAAAGCAGACAACATTGTTTGTAATTGCTTGGTTGCTCATTCTGTTCTCTTTCTCCTTCCCATCTTTACCCCTTCCTTCCCCACCAGTACTGCTTGAAATGTACTGGAAATCCACCCTGGGGTTTTCTAGTGTAGCAGCCCTAACTGCTTGTAAATGTCTGGTGTCGTCCAACGGCTTTGACCATCTGCCGTTGAAGTTATGTTTGAGTGACTTGTTCGAATTATAGGTTTCATAAAACATTTTCTCTAGAGAGGTGAGGAAAGTAGACAGACATGAGTTATTGAGCTCCATCAGAACAGTGGGCATTCCT